TGTGATCAGAGGTGTTGCCAGTTGTTGTAAATCAGATGTGATCAGAGGTGTTGCCAGTTGTTGTAAATCAGGAGTGATCAGATCTGTTGCTAGTTGTTGTAAATCAGATGTGTTGCCAGTTGTTGTAAATCAGGAGTGATCAGATCTGTTGCTAGTTGTTGTAAATCAGATGTGATCAGATCTGTTGCCAGTTGTTGTAAATCAGATGTGATCAGATCTGTTGCTAGTTGTTGTAAATCAGATGTGTTGCCAGTTGTTGTAAATCAGATGTGATCAGATCATAGTCTCAACATCAATGAATTACATAAACACAACTTCCTACAGTCGTCTACTTTTAAAATCTTATTATAACAAAACAATAATAAAATATTCACTCACAAAATAAATTAATGAACTATATTTAAACTAAACAGACTTTTATATCATGACACATTTAACAAACAGAAGTACTATAGTTCTAAGATATTATTTCAGTTTACAAACAGAAGTAATCTGGTTTTAATATATTATATTTCTTAACAAATAGAAATACTCTAGTTCTAAGATATTATGTTACTTAACAAACAGAAATACTCTAGTTCTAAGATATTATGTCACTTAACAAACAGAATTAATCTGAGGTAGCTGTCATTGGCTAGTAAATGGTCAGAAGAAAAACAAACAGTTTGTTCAACATCATGCTACATTTTGTTAACCTGCCAAAAACAGCCAGAGTTGCAGTTTAGCTGTTATAATATGTACTGGAACAGTCTGGGTCGGTTATGTAATATTAGACAAAAAAAAACTTATACAACTTACCAGAAAACAAGTTTAGTCGAACAAGCGAAAGCCAAAAGCAGGGAATCCAAAACATTGATCTTGAACTGAGGTGTTTTCATTGAAAACAAAAAATGTTTGATCCTTGAATATGAGGTAACCTAAAACACTGAGATTACATAAAAAATACGCTGGACAAAATTCATAAACTTTTTGTTTAAATTTGAAAACGATTAGAAACTTAGTTCAGTTTGATTTTTACTTGCTTTGGATACAATGTATATTTTACACTGGAAAATGTGAAAGAAAAACCTATAATAGGGTGAAATATTTAATTTTCCTATTTTTACTATAGAACATAAGTTGACCTAGAAAACATCGCCATCTACTACATAGCAACTAAATAATTTTACGAAAAAGGGCTTTTCAAAAATCGAATTTATTTTTCTGTAATGTGTTTCAGCGAAAAGGTATTAGATGTATATATCTTTACATTTTAGCCGACTTGAAATTCGAATAAGAACGAACGCTGTAGGTTTTAGTTTTGTTTTCATCGTTGAAACAATGATTGTGTTATAAACAACGCCTCTTAAATATCATGAGCAGTTAAAATGTTAGATCGACCAGTACTGTCCTGTTATGTGTAGAGTACAAAATAAATAAACGACACATTACACAAATAATTTGTTTGGAATTAAGCACAAAGCTACACAATGGGCTATCTGTACTCTGCTCACCACGGGTATCGAAACCCGGTTTTTAGCGTCGTAAGTCTGCAGACATTCCGCTGCGCCGCTGGGGCTACACAAATAATAAAAACTCATGAATATAGTACTGTGTTCAAATTACTTCTCGCTAACAGGGCACTGGTAACGAATTGGTCGTTACCAGTGAAAGTGGGTTTTCTCGGGGTACTCCCGTTTCCTCCCACATTAAATTATCGGCATAGAATTTTCAGATCACCGCCGCCCTGATGGACCATCAGTCCGACATCGGCCGTTTAATTTAGTTTACTTTGATCTTCACTTTTTATTTTAACCGTAACTCTCACGTTTACCCTTTTTAAATTT